AGCAGTCGTGGTGAGTTTAGGGGCTGATTATCTCCACCTGTTGATCCGGTAGGAAGCACTCAGTTCTGCTTCATTTAGCCTGCTTGTTCTACAAACTGTGTCTGTTTGGTTGTTATAGGTTCTGTTTTATTACCTTACATTGTTGTCTGTTATTAGTTTTCTTCTTTCCATACACTGCTGGTCATTACAGTACACATACGCTGCATTCATTACAAGAAAACTGACTTATAGGATTTCTTGCAGAACAAATATTTCCCAAAACAATTTCCTTACATATTGTCATTTTAAACTAGAAAGTTAAGTTGTTGCTCTGTTGAACACATACATGCTGAATGCATCAGTTAGCAGGTGCTGACTGAGTAGACCTGCAGACTTGCACAGTTTTTGTGCACAGATTAAATATTATGGATCTAAAATGTGATTCCACATTTTGTTTGCTTTCTGTTTCTGAAAAATCAGAGGCTGATGGAGCAGTCTTTTTTTATTGTTGTGACAAAAACACTAAATTATCAAAACCCTGCCCTGGAATTTTAGGCTAGGCTAAGATTATCAGAAACAGTTTTCAGCTCATGTATGTATGAAAAATCATGTTACTGAGACTTTAAATTGCTGAAGTTTAAAATGATGGGTGTGACTGCTACCAGTGAGGTATTACAACATTACTTGATGCCAAATATTGACAAATGGCGAGGCAATGTTGACTCGGTTGTTGCTGGATGCCAGAAATATGTGAACACATCCCTAGATTAGGAGGCAAAGGGGGGTCCCTATCTTCCAGACTCTGTTGAATCTTAACAGGGTCTTGTGGGGAGCTGTCCCCTTTTTGTCCTCAGACTACCTATGAATAATGTATCTGTTAACTTCAAGAAGCCTCAAACACCACACAGTTGAGTGTTTCTGTGTAAGCAAATAAAATAAAACAGCATGATGTGAAAATATCCTGAGCTTTAGACACAACTCTAAACAGCAGAGAGGAAAACACCTGAAACAGCTAAAATTAAAAAAGAAATGCTGACTCAGAGAGGAAGTAAAGAAAAGGACTCAATCACTAATAAAGAGGATGCATGACCTTTGAGGAAGTAGACAAAAAAAACTGAACCAACAAAAACAAATGTAATAAGTGAAGATTTTGGATATGAATATGAAACAACAAAAATATAACAAAAAATACTAAAAATAATTTTTATTTTATTGTGAAATTACCAGTTGAAAAACCCTATATTCCTGTATGACCTGTTATTTACACCATCACTGACAATGACTGTGGTTTTATTTTTTATCTGCTTTTGGGAAAGTTGTTTGTGTAATAAATAAAATCCCCACAAATTCACAGCAAACAGTGAACAAACACTGATTGAAATGAAAGAGTACACTGTCTCTCATTCTTCAACATAACTGACACAAAGTCTCAGTTTAGTGTTACAAACAAGTATAACCACACAGAAAACTAACTCAAACTGAGTCAGCCACAAAAACAAAATGCATTTATATTCAACACATTTAAACTAATCCTTGTGTAAAAGGTTTGCTTTGCAGATGGATGCAGTTTAAAATAAAGAAGTTTTAACTTTTCTAATGAATCTCAGCACTACCATGAAAATATCACCAGGTTACACACAAGTGTTTGCCATGCTGGCAGTCCCACAGTTCAACATTTGTTGCTGAAATGTTAGTCTTTCAACCATGCTCACAAGGTTAGAGGAGGGAAGGACTGATGAAGAGGAAAGTCAGAGCGTGAGAAAGCAAACAGTGCAGAAGCTCAGGCGTCACTGAGCAGCAAACAGTGCATGAACTCACAGATTGGTACTGGTAACGCTTTCATTCCACTTCCCCAGTTTCTCTGCGGTTCTCATGTAGCTATGAACAAAGACGTGAAAGGGTGATACTATCAAGATTCAGCCGAAGGCAAAAGGCCAAACTAATGACACCTGGGGCCTCATATACAAAGGCTTGYGTGGATTTCTTACTGAAACCTGAYGTACGGTCAAATCCAGAAAACGGTGTACGCACAAAAAAATCCAGATGTATCAAACTGTGCGTACGCCTGAATCCACGCACATTGCTTTTGTACATCACAATTAACGTGGAGCTGAGTGCACGTGAGGCACCTCCCCTGACACGCCTTCATTAACATACAGATGCAAATTACTTCCTGCATGTGTGAAGGACACGTTTGTTTGATCCCTGTGCGATCAGAAATGATTTCTGTCATAAAAATAATGAATTTAACATAAAATGAGTGAGAAAAAAATCCTAAGTAAAAAAGAGAATAAAATATGTTTATCACGCAAAGAACGAGTGATGTGTGTGTCAGTGTGTGTGTGCGCGCACGCTGCTGTGTTGCGCAATCGGCTCATCCATCCATTCTGAGTCTGAAAATATTAACTTCGCGCACGAGTTTATTGCCATAATTACTGTAAACACAGAGGAACTTAGACRTTTGGTAGAACATAGATCTTWGTTTRTTTCATAACTGATATGAAGAAACGAGTCTCTGTGTCTCAGYGGGGAGTTCACACGACGTGATGTTGTAGAGTCTCCAMAAACGYTGYRCRCGCCGCAGATTTTGTGTCATTTTGGAGAAATCTACAACAACRTAAACCCCAAGTATGAAACAACTCCACTGCCGACGAGGGTGCGCGCTCCACAGAGCGACCATAACTCAGTCGTTAGAATCATATGGATGAGAGACGATTCCATTGGGCATGATTCATTCCATATTTTTTCCCCTGTGCTTGGGTCAATAAAAGTAACATTCACTGACTTCCACAATGTTTTCTCTTCATTTCTTTGAGTG